TGCTAGCATTGTTTAAGTGTATGGCCATCCTTAAAAGAAACGTATGCATAATGAAACCATGGCTTGGCTTTATGATAACGCGGTCATTGTTCCATAGAGAATTTATTACTGTTTTGTCTTAAACAGAATGGGAGAATAACGCGCGTGAGTAACCGGAACAATTTTAATTAAGGAGTAAATACACGAATGTTTGCGCGCGAGGTAAAGAAGTAAATGCCGGATCCTCGGTAATGAACCTGCAAATACGTGACAATAGGTCCTCGTGGAGAACGAAAATAGTTTTTTTCGCTGAACACGAATAACGCGTTGTTCGACGGGCGAGTAGAGTTTAAATCGAGTCCCGGAAGAGTGAGTAACAGCGGGAGGACTTCGGTCCCGTCGTCGTGATCGATCTACGTTTTCATTGGCGTTCATCCGGCCTTTATTCGCCGACAGACGCGCGGAGCTAAGCACGGACAATGCTCATAAATTTTTTCCTGCCGTGGCAGACACCGGTTCCGTTTCATTTGCATTGTCTCAGGGCGTACCCGTAACCAGGGATGCTCCCGGATCGATCGGTTCCCGGGGTTTCCATTGTCTCGTCCCGGTGTCGGTATCAATCGCGAGGCACGTTCATTATAACGGCATTAGAAAAACTCTTTTCAAAAGGCACCGGGATATGGATTCCCAGAACGTCCTCGTCGCCGGGAAATTGCAGAGTAAGCGGCGTGGGAGCGCGCGATTTCCGTTTTCCAATGGGTACGCGATTAACAAACAAACTCCGTGGAACTCGCAAGAAGATCAAATGGCTTAGATTCGGGGCAAACAGAGACAGGATTTGCGACAGTCAAGGGACGTGGGGATTCTGATCCCTGATCAACGAAACTGGGAACAAAACCAAACTGCGTTTCGAGATCCGGTGATCAACGCTGGGTTTTGTAACGCGAAAGTTCTTGCTGACGAAAGCGAGGGAGCGACTTAGGTTCGCTGATGGCGGCGCGTCAGGGGTTAGGGGTCGAAGGGGTGGGACGCAAGGGCAGAAAGATGAAAAGATGTTTCGTCCGTTCGATGTATACACGCGCCGACGGCGAGGAGACGACCTCGAATTGTGAAAGCAGTAAAACAAGACATTAGCTTTATGGAGTGGAAGGAGACAGAGAGACAGAGAGAGAGAGAGAGAGAGAGAGAGAGAGGACAAGTCGAAGGCAAAAAGGTCGGGAGACAGTGGGAGAGGACAAGTGGCCACGAACCTGGACCTTCTCCAAACCTACAGAAATTCCGTCGGTCGTGTTTCCCGTTGTCGGAGGCCGTACACACAAAACCAAGATTTTAAACTCGACAATAAACCGCCGCAAACTGGGACGCAACAATTTCGTCGATCCCCGTGCTCAGTCGTTCGTTATTAATGTTTCAGGACCCTTTCACGGTGTCCGGTACCTTTATTCCCCTTTTTCTCATCTTTGTTTCCAAGATCGTGTCTCTATCGCCGCGTTTCTTTACCTTCCCGTTACGAACGCGTATACTTTATTACGCATAAAGTGGAATCCGTAACGCGGCTACGTTCAACGAAATAACGTTCTTTTATGTTTCATACTGAGATCTGTCTCATTTTTTATTCCAAAATGCATTGTACTCGTGCCAAGTACAAGCTTTCTCTATTTCACTGGCGAATAATTGCGCGAGTAAATTATGAAGATCAATCTGATGACTCAAAGCGGAATTTTTTAAACCTCGCGTTGACCTATGTATAATCGTACGACATTAACGATATTAGTTTCACGGAGTATTGCAATTGTGGCTCATGTTCAAATTACTCTCTCAATTACAGTGTGTAATCGCCTCCAGCCGGAACGAGCATGAAACTAATCCTGAAACTTGTTTCAAGCTAGATCGGACGGGTTTACTCGGTTCCAAAGGAAAGGCCGGACACATTTATCGACGTTTGGTTTCCAAGTTCGAAAAGTTATCACGTCGATCGATTAATGTGCAAATAATGTAAATGGTTAGGATGACACAAACTTCGCTTGGATACTTCAAATAATTACGACGAAACAATAAAAAGATTTGAGTGCAATTTGTGTCTGACCAAAAATCGACTATTCTACTTGCGGCTGACGACTACTTAAAATCGATCAAGAATTCTTCGCTACGAGAAATTCGTCTATTAATAATCATATGATAATTAAATCTGTTGGTTTCATAAAAAAAATATTTTAAGAAACATGACATGACGTCATTTCTTTCCTTGACAATTTTTAAGAATGATTTCTCCGACTGCTTGTTTCGTAATTAATATCGGCGGAACGTTTGAACTAGCTCGGTCAGACTTTCCGAGTAGGTGTAAGGTCCGTGCGGTTCATTTGCGTGATAACCTAGATCCGAAAACAAAAACCTATTGTCTGGCCGTTGAATATCGCGATGACGCACTTTGACAATCAGAAAGACTTTCGAGAACTCGCGTTCCGATAAGGTGGAAGAAACTGAGAGCCAGCGATACGAAATGGAAAATCGGGCCACTGATTCTTATTATAACTTTTATTCCAAATAATTTCGTCCTAAGAAAATTTACCTTGTCGCATGACGACTCGGATTCTATTAAATCGTCATTCATCTCGTTGAGCCGCGCGTTTTGGAATCCTTTTCATGGTGACTACCTCGCATGTTTATTCAAGGCGACGAGCTCGAGGACTGATCTGTATGCAAAACGCGGCACGTTTCGCGGTTACGTCGAATCTCTCGTTAAATATTGCACGCGGGCCAATCGGGGTCGAGTCGTTCGCGCGTTTATCGCCGGGAGAAAGTAGAAAGATCGAGGCAAAATCTGGCGGTGCAGCTGCCGTTGCCTGGCCAGCCCCTCGCGGTCTGATCTGCGTCGTTAAATCGAAATTGCAAGGAGGAGACGCGCGAAACGCGATGCGAAATTTTGATAATAAGAAGGGACGACGCGAGGGAAACGAGGCAGAAGGCGGAATGACGAATAGCGGGAAATCGAAGGGGAACGACTCGGCCATAAATCGTACCCGCGCGAAGGCAAATGACTATCGACGGTAATAAAACGCAAGCCTCTCACGCGTGTGCCGCGAACCTTTCTTCTCTCCTTTCTATGGCTACCGGATTCAATCGTGACAAGGAATTTTTATAGTTCGCGTGGCTCACGTCGCCGTTCTAACGAAAATTTATTACCCTCCCGCATGTCATATTCTATCTAATACGAATCAACTTTTTCAGATGTTGCAAACTTCGTGACAATATTTCTTTCCACAGAAATTACGTACGATTGTTAGCAGTCCAATTTGAACGAAATCGTTTCTACTTTCGAGAGCTCGACGTTCGATCGCTCTCATAAATTCTGTACCTCGAGCGTCTGCCGACGGACGACCACTTCAGCTACTTGAAACATGTTTCGTACGCTTACCTTATCGAAACGAGTATCATGGCGAATATCAGGTACTTTCCAAGCAGCGGCACGACCAGCGACGTAGGTGGAATGATCTCGACGACCAGCAGGAAGAACACGTGGAGACTGATGAGAATGGAGATGGAAAGCGTGACCTGTAACACATACGATACCGAGCTTCAACGTTGGGACTCGCATTTTTATCCATTTTCGTCACGGCCTCGTACAACTATAATTGCTCTTATTTCCTTTGTCACACAGATTTGCTCGCGTAACACAGTTTCCTTTTTTCCAATGGGAAACACCTTGCCTGAATCGTAGCCAAGATGAATCTACGACCTCCCGTTTCAGCGCGAACCGCCCCTGACAAGAGACAAATTAAACTCTATTCAAAAGGGACCCGGAAATTGCGGATAGTGGACGGGAAAATTCGTATTTATAGCACGAACAAAGAATACACGGAGAATGAAAAATACCAAAGAGCATGCTAGGAAAAGAAATATAGGTAGCGAGCTATTACGAAATTAAATCCATTTGTCACGCGTTTCAGTTTTGCGATTTGAATGCACGGGTAAAGGGAACGATGCGAGGTACATAATTACTTGATAATCGAATTGTAAAGTTAGCAAGGATTTTGTTAAACATTTTGGGAAGCGTTTTGGGAGACGTTAAAGCGAGGCTGCAGGATTCATCGCGCAATTTGAATTTTTAGTAGAGAACTTTTGCGACGACGGCGACGACGACGCGACGGAGGGTGTATATGCAGTTCGTTACGAGGCATTCAGCGGGTTCCGTGGAAATTTGTCAGAGAAACTCATTGCCGCGGTATTCCCGTTCTAGCCCTAAAGGAAGGATTATGTTCGCGTGCGCTTTTCAACTCGCTTTAAGATTCCTCGGTTGATCCCCCGGTTGAAAGCCCGGACAAATCGCGCGTCGCACACGGTGAAACTTTAATGACATCGTAAAACCGATGCGCCCATATTTCGTCCATATTTTTTATTGTTCACCGACCCGAGATAATGACCAGGCGAAATCGCTACGAAAATAATTCGCGTGTACTCCTGTTAAAAACTAAATTGTCTTGTTCCCTCGAAACATGGTTTTAACCATTCCTGATATTCTCCAGTTAAGAATTCCCGGAGAGACATTGGCCGAAAGAAGTACCGCAGTAGAATGGAAACTTGGAGCCTCTTACACAGTTGAAACCTTGTTGCCCGCAACTTTCGCCGTTATTAATCCAAAGTTTCCGAGCAGCCGTTTCCGGCCACACGAACAACAGGATGTATCGAATGAACAATACGCAGACACGAACGCCTCCGCCTTTGCCGCCGGTCGCAATTGGGTCAATATTGTTCTATGTCGACGGCTGACACACCTACCGTGCGCGGTAAATTGGATCTCGTCTAATATCGGGGATAAAGAGCATGGGAACCGCGGCGACGGTCTTACCGAACTAAGCGAGCAACCCGTAATTCGATTTCTGCGTTTCATTTACTAATTCATTTCTACGATCGTTCGTCAATTCCGGTTCGTACGAGAGTCGCAATTCTCATATTGGGAGATTACAATGTGGCCGAGTACGAAATTGTCATTGAACGGAACGCGGATCGTCAGCATCCGTTGACTGACAATGCATTTTGCATCGTTGGGTGTGGCAGCGAACACGCGGTACGTCCGAGCCTCGCCGTATATCGCCGGTGTCTGTTTTGCTCTATCACCGACTAATGAGAACTCATGACGATCGACAGATAACATGACAACCGTGCACGCCTCGTCTCGCATATGCTTCATCGAATCTATTTTACAGTCCGGACATTGCATCATCGAGCACGTGACCGTGCGAGTTTCTTTCAGCTTTAAAAACGTGTCGAACTTATTTTCGTACGTTTCGGGCCTGTATTAAATACAGTATAATTCGACTCGCTTGGCGTACGCGCATCAAGCCTGTGGTCGAATTAACCTAATTGAAGTTTATTAGCCGTGCGCAAACTTGTAAATCGGATTAGAGCCCGCCTATTGAATCAAAATCTCGGCACTCAATGGATCCCGAGACACGTGCTATTAACACAGCTGCGCACAAGTCATTAAACTTATTAGTCGCAACGATCATGGATAGCTGATTAATCGATGTAACGGCGTGGCACGTCGTTATCAGGCCGCGACGATGAACAGTGAGTCAATTATTCAAATTCGAATCCGGTCTCGCTCGGAATCCTCGTCGTACGAATACAAAATTAAACCCGAAACGGTCTCGGCGTTGTCACGCGTGCACGGAGATTGCACGACGCGACGCGGGCATTATCGTGAAAACGGAATGCGCGATCGAAACGCTAACGGGTTAGAACAGCGTTCGTGCCCGACGGAATACAGAGCCGGGCTCTTCGTCGAATCGGTTATCAAGGGAAACTATCGTCGCGACGTGCAGCTTCCGTTGATCACGGAGATTAGACGAACCGTAATTACGAGGGCTCGACGAACATTCGGACTCGAGGCATACTTCGCGGAGGTTTGTCGACGGGTGAAACGTGGGAACATTTGACTCGGTAAAATGTCAAACGATCGTACGGACGTCGAATCACAGAAATAGAAACGCGACCTGGGCAACGATTTCAAGAACGTCTCGCTTCTCGATTTATTTCCACGCGCACTTAATCGTCCCGAATACACGATCGTTCTTTACGGTGTTCGAAGAACGTATGATACCGACACGCTTTTAGGCTCAAGAATTTCAATGGGGGCGAGAAGTTCTGAACGGAGATGATCGTGATGTCGCGCGATTTTGCCATAAAAAGGAGATATGCAATTTCGACGAGCGCTGCGGCCATGGGTCAATCACCGGACCGCGATATTGCTTATCGATTCTCTCCGATTGATTGACATGCCTCGAAGACTAAATAGCCACGAGCTCGAGTCTCCGTCCTTTGCCGGAAAAAAAATTCACAGTTTTTCGATTGACCTCGCGATCCCACGTTCGAGCCGCGTATTTCATGTTCAAAACGTTTCCGACGATGCATCATGCGCTTGTTTCGTTATTTTATTCTCGACAGGATCGACGGTATGTGGAACGGACCAGTGATCCCGACGAAGCGCTAGTTTCTTGACCGTAATAGCCACATTGTTTCCCTATGGCCAACAACGGGAATTTGACCGACGAACCATGAGCATTTCAGTTACCGACTCGCTGCCCACGTTCGAAAGAGAAAAGGAACTTTTACGGATTTTTTTGTAAACAACATTCCACACATCAATACGAATCGGTGCGTTCAGCTAGAATTTCTCAGTGCGCGACTACCGCGTTCAAAATGATCATTGACGAACAAACGTTGGAGCACGTAATAAGAGGTTCCCTCTCTCTCTCTCTCTCTTTTGAACGTTGAAGAAACACGATAAGCGTCGCGACAGTTGATTTCCGAGGACGTTCCATTGAAAATGGAAGTAACGGGGTGAAAAGAGTTTCAAAGCCACGGTGACGCGTGTCCTTCTATGCAGAGAGTAACGTCGCAACGGAAACCATCGGCAAAGCGTTTTCCCTCGTCCCGAGAGTACGTCGATAAAACCCGGCGCGCGATTTTTCCCTGCGAATCCGTCAAGAGAGAACGAGGAAAAAAGGGGGAGAGAGACAGAGAAAGAGAGAGAGAGATTCGGAGATAAGAGGCCCGTCGAAGGATGGCGAGGATGAAAAAGCGCATCAATGACGGAATCCGGCGCAACGCTGGTTCCCTTTCCTCTATTTATTCTGTCGCGTATCGAGGAGACTCTTACAAAGAGGATCGGTTCGCCCGGAGGCAATTTTCGAAAGGCGGTCGAAAAGGGCGAGGGAACCCACCGCGAAGAAATGAAACGAGGCTGGGTGGGTGGGGCCGCGGCGCCGAGAGCCGACGGAGAGCCGGGAACAGGAAGAGGGCTCGTGGGTGGAAATGAAAAATAGTCGACGTCGTCGGCCAAAAGTAACCGCCGGCTCGTACCCTTACCAGATAAGGGAAAATAACGAGGCCGACAGCCGCGCAGAAGAGAACTAATTCGTCGCATATTTCACACGCGTCCGTTTTACCGACGCTAAGTATAGGTAAGCACGCCCGTTATCCGGGATAAAGGAATTAATTGCATTCGGCTCCGGTCCCCATTCGTCTTTTTCCTTCCGCCGCGCCGCCGCTGAGAGAAACGGCTCCGAGCGTCGGCGTAGCCGCCGATCCGTACTACTTACCGTGTGTACGTGTCGTGGCGCCCGTCGCCGTGACTGGCATCTGTCAATTTCGCTCCGATACTTCTCGCGTATGTTTGCGGGACGGCTTTGTGCCGTGTCGATGCCCGAGGCAACGGTCGGACCGACTTTGTTTCCGTGTCGTCTTACGTCGAGTAAATATCGGGGAATTCGACGCGAGATCGAGTTCTCCCGTTTCGTGGCACGGGGAACTGATTTTTACACGTAGCTAAGTGCGTACTTTCGGATACACGAAACGTCGGAAACGCAACGTGGGTCTACCAGTGGGCCGACTTCGGTCTAATGAAACTTGCATACCGTGGCTGAAACACGGTTACCCAGTGAAAACTTTTGCCGCGATGATTAACGAGCCGCCATAAATTCAAAGTTTCTCCATCGGATTTATATTCGTTGCGCGGGTTCATTCGCCGTGGAAGAACGCGAAAAACGAGAACTCGGGAAACGTGCAATTACTGTTGCACCCTTTTGCCGACTCGTTGCCGGGCCGACTTCTCTCGTCCCCGCCGCGGTCGCGTTTATTCACCCGGTCGCCCGTACCTATTTTCACCTCTCGCGGTTTTCGCGGATACCGTTCGCTGAAAATCGGCGAATCGCTCGTTTCGTGAAAGGAGTTTACAGACGTTTTGCACCGTGCCGATCCCCGCAGCGGGGATAAAAGCGATTAATCGCGTTGCGGTCGCGTGACCGATTTTAATTAACGGTTTCACTGCGGTTCAAAGACGCGGAGCGTTCGCGATTGGTCATATCTCGTGCCGATGAAAGACGGAACCGGAGCATTTACAGGCAGCGAGTTTTAATTAACGACCCTTTGATTCGACGCTCTTCTTATCGTTCGCGGGATGCAAATATTCTTTTCTCTTTACGAAATCTTTTGTCCCGCGTTCTCTGTTCGACAGACACGCTCTAACGGACCACGGAATTGAAAGAACCAACGACGCTCTTCCTCGATGGCTTTTTGATTTTTAATAAAGGCTCTCGCCGAAACATTTTCCACTCACCTTTTCCCCGCTGTCGCTGGGTAGGTAGAACGTCAGCACCGTGAGGAAGGAAATTCCCATGCACGGGATAATTATGTTCACGGTGTAGAAAAGCGTTTTCCTTCGCATCGTTATGTTAAACGTAATATCCAGGTACGGCTCGTCGCAGCAGGTGTAAAATTTTTCGTTTCTGCAGAAAAAATTGCAAAACGGTGCTGTTTAATTAAAGCGTCGACGACGACGCGTCTCTCCACGCATTTTAATTGTTCAACAAAAGTCTTGTAATTAGTAAGTTCGCATTTTGTCGTTCGACCGTGACGGAGGAGCTGACGCGGATAGAAAAATTTATAAACGCTTTATCGGAGAGAAGAGCCGGAACAGATGGGAATTTAACGGTGAGATCCAGTTTTTCATTAACGCTTCCATGGCAGACGACGATTTTTAGAACGCGGTCCTGTCAAACGACATGCAAGGTGTCCATTCTCTCGTTTCGCTGGTCGATCGAAATTCCGGTTGCAATTCAGGTCCGTTTGACCGTAGTTCCCTCTGCGATCTGCTTCCGGCTGTCTGACCATAGCAACGATATTCCCCTTACGTGACAAGTCGTTTAAATAGCCCGCAAAAACCAATTCCGGCGAGAGTCGCGTAGCTGGAACAACGACTCATAAAAGTAACACGTTTATTGGATTCTCTCTCGACTCGACCGAACGCGGTTCACCAAACGCACTTGGTGCTAAACAAAATCAAAAGCTATTTACAGAGTAATCGGCGGGCTCTCGGAATCGATGAAAAGACCCTCCCACCGTTTTCGAATTCTCATCTGTTCACTCTTTGTCGACAAACTAGTTTTCAAAAAAATCTCTCTGCCCATTCATCGGTTTATTTTTTTTAGCCCGGCGGCTGGTCGAAACGCTAACGAACTGTTCTTCGACAAATTTCGGTAAACAGTGGCCATCGGCCTGATAAAATTGCGTGGGTAAATATTGGGTAAACGCGACGAGGAACGGGTGGTAGAAAAAAAAAAAAAGGAATTAGTAAAAACGCATGCTCACCGTACTGCGGGCACTTCTAAAATGTCCCATTCTACCGACATGTAGAACTCGGACAGGTCGACTCCGACGTCCACCACGTTGCTCCCCGACTTCTCGTCCATGTGCCTCAGATCGACCTACTCGCAACAAAAGAACCGGTCGCATCAGCATTCTCCCTAATCGAACGTATCGATAAATCAGTAATTGTCATGCCCACTTAGGTTACTTCACGGATGAACCTGCAGCCTGAACGATAACTATTTTCCAATTGTCGACGAAAACAGAATTTTAATCGTTGTTCTCTGATCGTGAACGTTCAGCGTTTGGTAAAATCGCGTAGTGCGAGCTTGGCTACACTGAATCGAAAGAGTAAGCGAGACGATATAATTCTCCCGTCGAAACTAAATATGATTTATTTAGTTTTCGAGTTAAGCTCGCGTTGAAAATTTATTTCGCTTCGAGATTTATCGCTGTAAATATTTATACGTCTCGCTCCGTTGTTTAATTCGCTGTATAAAGGAGTTCGAGCGAACACAATCGAGAGCATGATTTAAAAATGAAACAACGAGTAAATATCTGTTTGACTCGCGACACAAAGCGCTGATGAACCGTTCTCCTTCGGCTGTCTAAGCAGCTCGCAATCGTCTGGACCGAACCGGACCGGCTGCAAGCTCGCCGCTTAACGGGCTAAGTACGAACAATAAATTCCGAAATGAAAGTTTAAAGTGCACGTCTCGTGATGCACTTAGTTTTATCGCAAAAGCGCAACGGGAGCAAAACACTAATATATAGTCTGGACGAATAACGGGCCATTCCCAATCGCGAAGGCCCAGAAAAAATCTATGATCAACTATGTCAGCGGAACGATCCTCATTAAAAAACTATAATATGCCTTTCGCTTTCAACTATTGTGCAGCATGACGAACAAACAAAGTCGAGAGACACTGAAAAAATCAAACTAATCGCTAAGCAGAACCCTAATTAGTTATTCTCATGTTTTTTTTTTTAACTGTGGAGAAACGAATAGTTCCCGCCAGTGGTGGTGAATCGTCACGTCGATGATACCGGGTCTCGATTCGTGAGCCGCTTAAACGAGCAACGATTAGTTCTTTCGCGATTCCCAATGATTTCTCAGCGTTCCATTTGGTCTCTTGCGCGAGCTGTTTTTCTCTAAGCGATTTCAAGCGTATGCCTCGTATTTAAGCGGTAACTTGGATGCGCAATACCGTGCAAATATTTCTTAAGAGAGAACTCGTCTCTCGTACGAATTTCATTAAAAACACGATTGTTCGTTGTACATAAATCTGAAAATCTCCGGTTTTAATTGCCAACAGAATTTGACGATCGATCCTTTGAACGGTATTGTTTCTCGCTAACTGTTCAATACCTGTTCAACGTTGCACATTCAGAAACATATTTGTATGCACGCGAACGGTGCACACAAGCAAAACTCCATACATACAAAAGTATCGACAGAGAAACCTTAAGCAACGATAATACACACGAACGTTGCACAACTAGCGCAATATACATATGTATGAATAATTTTTTATGCAATCGCTTGGCTATGTATACCGGCGTTCAGCGATCAATTAATGAACGACGACGATGCCACAGTATAAGAAAGAACAGTAGGCTCACTAACGGTGTTCCTGTCGTGACTTTCTTATACTGTGACGATGTTTCGTTTTGAAACCGGAAAGAAATCTGGATCATGTATGACGTGTCGTGAGGGAGTGTGCGTGTATTCAAAAAATGTATAAGGCAATAATACGTGGACTCTAACAATTTGTTATGAAATAAATATTTAATGAGACACGGTTCATATTTATTTTCGCGTGTGGGAAGTAACATGTTTGGATACGCGCGTCGAGTAATTTTATACAATGGCTCTCATCATCGGAATTCGCCGAGATTCAATTAAACGTGTTGGCAATAAGCTAGTATTAAAATCTGATTAATATCGAATGTTGTTTGATTTGATGAAATGACCGAAAATATTCACGGTTAAATTTAAACGAAGATTTTAATAAACATTCATCAGACGTATTCGCTGATTAAGCAAGGTTTGAGATACGGCAGCCAATAATTTATCATATAAATGTCTATCATAATCGGATTTGCTTCTAATTCGTTTCCAGTAGACGTAATCGCAACGTGGAGCAATTGTAAAACTGAAAAGCAGACGAGGAATTGTAAGAATGTGTATTCGCTGATAAACGTTGAATTTCGCTTCGGTCAAAGTTCTGGAATTGCTGCGGCTCGAGCCGATGTCGGGTACGAAACGGTAAAAATATTCGGGATATATATTCTTTTGATAGATTTCCGCGAGGGCTGAGGCTGAATTCGAAAAGCACTCTCATCTCGGGCGAAAGCACTTGGAACCTGGCAACTTTGCTAAATGTCCTTTTCGGTGCTTGCAAATCTCATCGATTGTTTCATCCCCCGCGCACTACTTCCGAATATATGCATTTCTTTCTTCCTTTCTCCCTCCGCCGGTCTTTTGTCTCGTTTCATGCGCGCACGTACATATGTCGTGCCCCACTTTTAATTCCATCCCGACGTTATTTTCGAAACTTTTCATCACTCGCCGGGTGGTAAACAGAATGTTTTCCGATTTGAGTTACTCCACTTTACCACGTTCTCAAAGAAACCGGATAGAATTGGAACTTCGCTCTAATTTTATGATCAATAGAATAACGTTTTAATTACTGGTCGTTCAAGAATTCTCGTGTTCTCTAATTTGTTCGCATACAGTCGCGGCATTCTTGCTCAAGCCGACTGAACTCTTAGCGGAAGTCGTTAATTGCGCTTCTGCAAAACACAATGGTGAGAACCGTCGTCGTAAAACAGTGCTACTCGCAGTTGCAGCAGGAACGTAAGCGACTTATGGGTTAAGTAAAGCGGGAACACCAGAAATTAAACGTGGACCCTCTCTTCTGTATGACCGTCTCGGCTAACGACCGTTCGCTGTAATTTTGTAGCCGTGAATATTAAATGGCGACCATTAAAAACGTCCAGAGAGCTAGTTACGTGTAATGGAATTCAAATAGAGATAAAGCTGATGGAATATTAATATGACATACGGACTCCTTACGAAGCACGGAATATGGAAATGGTATTCAAGAATAGTGGCAATTCCGAGGAAAATGAATAGTCTATTTCTCGGTTGTGCGGGGTAAAAACCATTCTGAAAGCACGAGTGATCGATGTTGCCAAACAAGTACAAAAGCCTGAAGGAATACGAAAGCATAAATCATTTCCTATGAAACTTTCTCACTCCTCTTCGTCTTCCGATGAATAATAATATTTTTGCTTGGCGCAGCTAAGTACTTATTCACAACGACGCGATATCCTGTCCAAACTTTATTCACCAAACGAATCGAGCTCGAGATTCATTGTTACAGTCTTATATTTTTTTAACGAAACCTATATTTACTGAAAATCGACGATTTCGTGGGAACGCGAATTTACTTACAGCCAGTCGGTCAGCCCGGACTCGATTAACGGGGAACGTAGAGAAATAAAATGGCATGAAAAATTCGGTAGTCGTCGAAATAAAATTGGGAATCATCGTTACCGTTTCGTCGGGTCGCGCCGCGTTTTTCAGCCGCGTAACGAGTCCCGCGAAAATTATCCCCTATCGCGCTCTAGCTCCCTCGGCCCCGAGCGAAAATTGCGATCCCGGCGCTGGCAATCGCGAAGCCACGTCGCAATCGTCGCAGTTGCGTGTTAAATATCTACCGCGCCCCGCGAGGAGACAGTTTCACTTTTACAGTTCGCTCAAGAAAAGTTCGAATCACTGCGAATTTCCGATTCGTTTCCCGTCCTCCAGTTCCGGCCTTCTACTTTCCGAACGGCGACGGAAGTCCTCGGCTCGCGCGAAATTGCATGCCAATAATGAACAGACGGTCGCAAACATGATATCAACCCGTCAAACGTTTGTGTTTGCTCAACAATACCGCGCGAAATTCACAACGTTTACACGTTCACTGAAAACAGGTTCGATATGATTTGAACCGATACTCGAGGAATGTATTCCAATGAGTAACGATACCGTATTTGTTCTCATACGAAATAATGATCGATGAATCCGGACGAGCCTGCTGATATCGCAAAAATCGTTTATCGTCATTGGTAATAATTTCCTGCTGGCATTATCGTTTCCTACCTCGCGAGTCTCGTGGATATTATCGTAAAGCGATCGAACCGTGGAACGCGAACGATCTTCCGTGGGAGGCGGACGAGGCGGAGGTGGAGGAGGATTCCTGTGCCAAGAGGAACCCTGTATCGGAAACCACAGAAGTTGGCAGACTTTTCGCGAACGATGCAAGATTCATCGGCCGGTGAATTTCGCCTAGCAGGTTAAACCGAAATTAATCGCGTTCCTTTCTGGCCGTAACCGCAAAACGTACGTTCCCGGTAACGTGTACCTAACAAGCCTCCGGAGACCACTCAACAGGTATACGACCTACCCGCCGCTTCATGAGCCACATCAGAGGCTTTTGGTAAATCGGCTGAATGACGTCTTGCGCGTGTAAATACACGCCAGCGTCGCGTCGCGTCGACGTTTCATATTTAAACGTTTACGTATCAGCCCCCGTTAATTCTGTGGGCACTCGACGAGGATAATCAGATCACGAATTTCCATTATGCGGGATCGATCTCTCCAATTGACGACCGAATACAATTTTCACATTTTTAGGTCGGATGGTTTAATGTTGTACGGGCCGTAAGATCTCTGGGAAAAGACACGATAAACTGAATACTGTTAAAATTCAGATCTTGCGTCATTTTTCTATTTAAGGTACAATATTAATTTCATGCAAATTGGTTGGCTGGAAAACGATTCGGTGTGCAGGAGAGACGAGGTACGGCAAACGGTCAAACAGAATTTAATATACGCGGAATTCAGGTACGTTTTGTCATCAGTAAACTTATTAACGCGATTTAGAGTGATGAATGCACGATCGCAGCGTGTTTACTGGCGTCAGTCGCCGTGTTATGGTAAACAGAAGTCAGTGGGACGGATTAAATTAATTAAAAAGGCTCTCGCGTGAGATATTATTTTCATCGCGTTGAAAGTCTTAATGAACTCCGTCGGTGTTCGACGGGCATAAGTCGTAAGGTTCAACGT